TTGGACCCGCCTATGATTTCAGATGTATTTAGACGAGATAGTGAGGAGAAGCTCGGCATGAGATGCAGAGAAGCGCAGAGAGATTACATTTATCAGTTGTTCCTTCTGCCCTTTCAATTCGTAGGGTAGGCGAGAAGGTGTTCTGCCCGTCACATAGTGGCTCATTATCTGCTGCATCGGACATACAGGGAATGACGTCATCCGCCCCGGTAGTGTGTGCCATGGTTACTTCCACTTTGGTTTCATCCGTCTTCTACTTCAAGCAATCGGTGCAAGTGTGTGAGATACTAAGAAATTGATAAGACCAAGGTGGAGGAAATCATGGTCTGCACAACCGTGGTGTAATACGCCACGATGGTGTTTTTCGATGAGTGATACTTCTCTCCGTCATGAGCGGATCTAGACACATCGAACGAGGGGGTGGAAGGGGGTCCGGGGGGCTTCCTTCATGAAATTTTCGAAATTTTAAAGCATCTAATATGCAGTTTGAATCAATTTCATCATGAATAATTACCAAATATAAGCGTCCTTTCTTCCTCTTTCCTTCGTTCCTTCTTCCTTTCATTCTTCCCTTTTTTTAAGCGAATGGGGGGGGGGGGGCTTGCATCAACATTTGACTTTCGTTAATATTTGACGTAGAAACTTGGCGTTCAGACAGATCTTACTACTTTTTGTCAACTTACATACTTAAACCATCAAAACATGATTCTGCGACTAACACAACTAGCCTCGGCTGGCTACGCTACTGCGCCTTGGACCCATTCCTTGTATTCCTCCCAAGAAAAAGTTCGTCCGAGCGCACCGGAGGAGTTCGTCGCCCTCCTGACGTAATGACGTATCTACACTTCGCGTTGGACCCTGATGTCCGTATAGCTCAATTCTTTCCAGGGCTCATCTCTGGGTGCAGTTATGACCTTTGGTCAAGCTAACGATGAGTCGATCGTGAGACTGGAGCTTATAATCCTTCGTCATCTCCGTGGCTTGTGCACGGGATGCTGAGACCATTCTCATCTCGTGAGGTTCTCCGCGGCGCAGCGTCGGGCAGGGGGGGGGGCGGCGATCCGCGGGGGGTTTTGTGCATCGCGCCCCGCCGGTTTCAGACGCCGGACGCCCGGACGCCGCGACGGGGAGCGTCCCCCGGCCACTCGTAAAGGCAGAACCAGAGGTCAAGTTCAGATTAAGGTTCTGCTCCGAGTTGGATAGACGCTCGACCATGGACTGGTTCTTTGCAGGTAAACTTCCGTGTTTTTTGCGACGTGTTCCTCTTTAAAGTTTTTCGGTTTATTTTCGTGCTATTGTGCTCTCTCGCCGCGGCGGGTTTGTGATCTCTCCTTGTTTTCAAACGACCGACGGTTGAGAAAATCGAAAATTCCGCGTAAAGTTAAACCCAAACTTCGGTGTGGTAAAAAC